AATACACCCAGAAATCATGACCCCTGACCCAGACAAATACACCCCAAAATCATGACCCCTGACCCAGACAAATACACCCCAAAATCATGACCCCTGACCCAGACAAAACACCCCAAAATCATGACCCCTGACCCAGACAAATACACCCCAAAATCATGACCCCTGACCCAGACAAATACACCCCAAAATCATGACCCCTGACCCAGACAAATACACCCCAAAATCATGACCCCTGACCCAGACAAAAAACACCCCAAAATCATGACCCCTGACCCAGACAAATACACCCCAAAATCATGACCCCTGACCCAGACAAATACACCCCAAACTCATGACCCCTGACCCAGACAAAAAACACCCCAAAATCATGACCCCTGACCCAGACAAATACACCCCAAAATCATGACCCCTGACCCAGACAAATACACCCCAAAATCATGACCCCTGACCCAGACAAAACACCCCAAAATCATGACCCCTGACCCAGACAAATACACCCCAAAATCATGACCCCTGACCCAGACAAAACACCCCAAAATCATGACCCCTGACCCAGACAAATACACCCCAAACTCATGACCCCTGACCCAGACAAAAAACACCCCAAAATCATGACCCCTGACCCAGACAAATACACCCCAAAATCATGACCCCTGACCCAGACAAATACACCCCAAAATCATGACCCCTGACCCAGACAAAACACCCAGAAATCATGACCCCTGACCCAGACAAATACACCCCAAAATCATGACCCCTGACCCAGAAAAAAATACACCCCAAAATCATGACCCCTGACCCAGAAAAAAACATTGTAAAATATGAACCCTTACCCACACTAATACACCCCAAAAACATGACCCCTGGCCCAGACTAAAACATCTCAAAACCTGACATCTAACCCAGACAAATCACCCCAAGAACATGACATCTGTCCCAGATGAAATACCCCAAAAATCGTGGCCCCTGATCGAGACAAAATTTACCCAAGGAACATGACCCGCGACCAAGAAAAAACACCTCAAAACCTGACCTTCAACCCAGACAAAACATTACAAGAACATGACTTCTGTTCTAGACAAAATCCACCGAAAATCATGACCCCTGACCCAGACAAAACACCCCAATATCATGACCCCTGACCCAGACAAATACACTCCAAAATCATGACCCCTGACCAAGACAATTACACCCCAAAATCATGACCCCTGACCCAGACAAAACACCCAGAAATCATGACCCCTGACCCAGACAAATACACCTCAAAATCATGACCCCTGACCCAGACAAATACACCCCAAAATCATGACCCCTGACCCAGACAAAACACCCCAAAATCATGACCCCTGACCCAGACAAATACACCCCAAAATCATGACCCCTGACCCAGACAAATACACCCCAAAATCATGACCCCTGACCCAGACAAATACACCCCAAACTCATGACCCCTGACCCAGACAAAAAACACCCCAAAATCATGACCCCTGACCCAGACAAATACACCCCAAAATCATGACCCCTGACCCAGACAAAACACCCAGAAATCATGACCCCTGACCCAGACAAATACACCCCAAAATCATGACCCCTGACCCAGACAAAACACCCCAAAATCATGACCCCTGACCCAGACAAATACACCCCAAACTCATGACCCCTGACCCAGACAAAAAACACCCCAAAATCATGACCCCTGACCCAGACAAATACACCCCAAAATCATGACCCCTGACCCAGACAAATACACCCCAAAATCATGACCCCTGACCCAGACAAAACACCCAGAAATCATGACCCCTGACCCAGACAAATACACCCCAAAATCATGACCCCTGACCCAGAAAAAAATACACCCCAAAATCATGACCCCTGACCCAGACATAGACAAATTCACCCCAAAATCTGAACTTTGACCCAGACAACCCCCCAAGAACAGGATCTCTGATGCAGATAACACATTCCAAAACCTGACGAGACCAAAACACCCCTAAAACTTGACTTCTGTCTTGGACCCAGACAAAACACCCCAAGAACATGACTCTGACTTGAACAAAAACACCTCAAAACCTGACCTCTGACCCAGAAAAAACACCCCAAGAACATGACACCCTGACCCAGACAAAATACCCCAGAAATCATGACCCCGACCCAGTAAAAAACGCACCACCACATGACCAAAACCATAAGCACTTTCCCAAACAAAAACCACTTCAAAACATGATCTCTGACCCACACTAAAACACCCCAAAACCTGACCTCCGACCCAGACAAAACACCCCAAAACCTGACCTCCGACCCAGACAAAACACCCCAAAATCTGACATCTGACCCAGACAAAACACCACAAGAGCATGATTCTGACTCACAAAAAACACCCCAAGAACATGTCCACTGACCTAGACTAAACACCACAAAACCTGACCCAGACAAAAGACCTCCAAGGCATGCCCCTGACCCAGACAACCCCCCCCCCCCCAAAAAAAAAACATGACTCCTG